CACCGAAGTGGTTCAGGACCTCGACAAGAAGAGGATGGAAAGGCAGCCGCAGCCCCGCAGCGAGTTGCTCCCGGAATATCACGATCTCATTAGGACCGTGTTCCCAAGGAAAGCTACCCRTAGGGATAAAGTAGGCGAACTCCCCGGGCAAGTTATAGTAGTTTATGAGGGATTGGAGTCCCTCAGGCGTCATGGTCGAAGGTCCGAACTGGTTTGGAGCCCGACCCCGACGAGAGGTGGACACAAAACTACCCAAGGCCCCTCGACCTATGGGTTCAACCTCTTCCTCAAGATCTACATCGGGCTCGCTAGAACTACCGGGGGATGCAAAACGATTCGTAGAACTTGCATCAGACCCGCTTGGACTATCTGAGCCATCCGAGCTAGACATCAGGGGGTAGAAGACGGGTTCCAGGAAAAGAACTCACCCGGGAAGAAGATTGGAGTAGACCACGAAAGCTCGAACAAGAGGAACCTGGGACGCGAGCTAAAGACCCTAGACGCGAACTGAAACTTAGACGCGAGCTCGAGAGGTACAGTAGCAGCGACTGGGGTCCCCCCCCGGAAAACGACGATCCAGATTGAAGCCGATCCAACGGCCCACAATYGCGCTGACCGCACGTCCTCCGAAGCCGAGACGTGACCAGCGCACGTCTTTCTGAAACGGACATCGCCGGCGCACGTCTTTTGAAACTGACGAGGCGTCGCACACGTCTTGTCGAAACTGGCGGGGCGGCGACACGTGTCTTTTCGAAACTGACAGGGTGTTAGCGCACGTCTCCCCACAGTAAAAGCGGCTGCAGCACGATTCCCGAAATTTGAGAAAACGGCTACCGTCACGTCTCCCAAACACGCGCCTTTTTGAAAAATCAAACCAAAGTGCGCGCCACCAGTTGAATAAAATTCAAAKTACGGGCCAAAATCCTCCCGCCTTAGGAACTCCCTGTGCCAAGACCCTTAGCGCAGGGAGTGGGGGGCAATTGATGAAGGGAAATTTGGCCTGACCTCGCCATCACTCGACGCGTGGCAAAAGCAAACAGCTCGGGGCAACAGAGCGCCCAAAACACAAGCACCAAAAGAAAACCAACAGTCCAGGAGCACGAGCTCCCTACTAAGAACCCGAGCTCCCTGCTAGGAGCCCGAGCTCACTACTAAGGACCCGAGCTCCCTGCAAGGAGCCCGAACTCTCTCCTGGGCCCTAAACCTCACAAAGCCGTGACCCGAGCTGGCCCATGGCAGCTCGGAACACTCCCCAAACCGAACTCAAGACTTTATCCCCCCCGTTACTTCGGCACTTCGCCTCCAAAACGCCAGACTGACCAAGCGTACCATACCTGACACCAAGGATGTCCGTTTCCAAGGGCGGCGCACTTGACTGATTTGGGATCTGATGCTTGACAGCCGCACTTCAAACGGCCTCCTGCCGCCGCCACCTGCCACCGTCGTCACCAGCCGCAGAAACGGCTCTGACAAAAGGAGCAGTGGCGGTTCTGCCCGGCCAGAAGGGATGACATCCAAACTGGCAGGAGCTCAGAGATAGTCAGGCCCGATCTGACAGAAGCCTGGAAGTGAGTGCGCGAGGTGGTTATAAAAGGCTCCCTACCCACCAAGAACAAGGTA